ATCTGAATGGCATAAATCGGGCAGAAAAATACATGCATAAATTCGTATCTATACACCAAACGAACTTATGGGCATCATTATTATATCATTGTAATCGGAAAAATCTATATTCTTCCCCAATATAAACGTCTATCGATAATATTAATTCGTATAAAAAGAATAATGATTTATTTCTAAAAACCTGTTCTCCTTCGTGTAAAGGATACGCTGTAGCGTCGCCTTCATTCAACAAGACGAAAAAATATACTTGGCGCGAGACGCTACCGCGTCTCCAGATTCATATAAAAATCATAATGATTTATTTCTGGAAATCTGTTCTCCTTCGTGTAAAGGATACGCTGTAGCGTCGCCTTCATTCAACAAGACGAAAAAATATACTTGACGGGAGACGCTACCGCGTCTCCAGATTACATTGATTGTTTGTGTTAATGCATTTGCAGGTTTTGTTATATCTACCTTTTGCACAACTATTTCGTCGGCCTTCACCTTGTCAACCGGAAGTTTCTGTACGACAATGATAATGACTGGTGAGGCTTTACTCTATCTGTTTCTCGGAAATTACCTCTTACTTTAATTAGTTATTAAATTAATTCTAAATTTAGTTTTTTATTACGTAATGATATATAAACAGTATACCTAGTCTACAGTAATATATAAAACGTTTAAATAAAAAATATCAAAATTAACATGACCAATATACAGTGGATAATTATCTTCTTACGTTAATCGAATTTTTATTAATATACAAATTTGACAAAATTATAGGATGTTATTGGCCAACAGAGGGAATGCCGACATGGCTTGACTGGATTAGCTACATATGGCCAACTACATTGCCCACCCAATCTTTGAGGGGAATCATTTACAAAAATTCTTCCATTTCTGATTCGGAAGTTTATATTGGTTTTATAACAACATTAGGGTGGACAGTGCTGTTCTTTGTCGTAACTATATTTGGTATGAAATTGAAATCGTAGTATTATTAGAGGTTTTTTGTCTACATTATATAAATACAGTCTTGCATTGTCTACAAACTGCAGTAGATAAATGTGCAGAGTGAGCCTTTAAAAGTCTTATTGATTTATGTGTTTAAGGAAATGTATAATTATTCGTATTGTTACCAGTATATAATTAGCAAATGTAGAGGTCATTATTAGACGACCCAAGTGGCAAACAGCGTAGAGTATTTATTTCATAGGTTACATCCAACATTTTTACCATCCGGATTGTAGTCAGACGTGCTTTGTAACACGAATCTTGGTGACAGGTGCCTTAACGCGCGCGCGAAATACATGTGTTTAATTTTATAGTTAAATATTGATTGATACGTCCTGACTTCTGGTATTTTAAATCCTTGAAAATGAACGCAATTCGGTGATCAAAACGTTGGATGTAAGCTATTAAAGAAATAATTTACACCATCTGCCACTTGGGTAGTTGGTCGTCTAATAATCCTCTCCCCTACACTTTATAATTATTTTCTCCGTTTAAATAGGTGTGTGAGATATTGTTTGCTTCAAACGAATAAAAATTCATGAACTGAATTTCCATTTATTTAATTTAAATTAAAATTTTT